TGCAATAGAGAAAGTCATGATATGGAAGAGATAACTGTATTGTTTTTGAGATGCCAACAGAACATCCAGGAAGAAATGTCCTGCAGGCAGCTGATGATTGGGATGAGGGTATTAGGATTTGATATCTAAATTTGGGAGTCTACGTAGAGTTAATACTTGAACTCATGGAGACAAATGAGATCACTACAGAGAGAGAAAAGGGTTTAGGACAGAGTCCCATAGTGGACAGGAGATACATAATGTACAAAAGAAACCAAAGAAGAGTGGGATGGATGGTGAACTGGGAGAGAGCAGTGATCCCAGAAGCGCAGGGCTGAGAGAGTGCCTAGGAGGAGGGGGTAGTGAGTAGTGTCAAAAGTTGAAGAGAGGTCAAGAAGGGTGAGAATTGAGAAAAGGCCATCTAATTTAGCAGTTTAAATACCATTTAAATTTAAATGTCATTTCAATCAAGTAGTATGGTTGAAAGCCAAATTATAAGGACGAGGCAAGAGAGTGAATGGTAAATTAATTTTAAATGTTCTTTCTAGTAGTTTGTCAGTGAAAGGGAGGAGCCACACGGGATGATGATCTGAGGGGATGGCAACTCCATTGAAGGTTTTTTAAGGATGGGATAGACCTGACCATATTTACAGGCAGCAGGAAATAAGCCAAAAGACAGGGAGAGATTGAAAATGAATGAGAGACATCTTACTTCCTACTTAGTTGTTGTTGTTACTGTTTGTTCTTAGTTTTTGAAGGGGATCAAAGACTTCTCAGGTGATGTCTTAACTTGTTCGTGAAGATTTAAGTGAGGCAGAGTTACACAAAGTCGTCAGCCTCACTGTCTTCCAGAGTCACGGAAGTCTGGTGGCAGGACCAAAGTCAAGATGACTGGCAGTGGCCTGGAATGCAGTGAATGACCTTGGCGTCTTCCATGGGTGACCAAGCTCTAAGTGCTCCACAGTGCCTCCTTTCGCCGTCTTCATGGCCATTGGAACAAATTGTTCTCATCCACCCATTCCGCTGGGAGGAAGTCTTCACATACTTGGGGTAGATCTCCCCTCACTCACCAATGGGTTTGAGGCCTGTAGGTTATCCTCAACTTGGTTTAGCCCATTTGCTGAGACAGTTGTTACTGGGGTATGGTCACTGCACATGCTAAGTTAGAAGAGAAATAGGATTAACAGAGGCTGGACCCTTCTAAGTGCTTAAAATGTTTTTTACCTTCTGAACTCTCCTCCCCATGTTATCAAGTCCATCCTGGGTCTGGCAGTAGATAAACAACAACAACAAAAATCAGGCAGCCACTAAATTCTTGTCTGAGATTTGGGAAGAGACTTTGACCATTTACAGGAATAAGAGACTTTTGTGCTTCAGGGCAAGCTGAGGCATGCTGGGGAAGAGTAGACACTGATCCTTTTTAAATGTCTCACAAACAAAAAATATATTCCACAATCACATATACCCCTAGGCAAATATGTTTCCCATAAACAATAGAGAATATTAGACAGATATAATTTATATTTTCCCCCAGACCTTGTCATAAACAAGCCCTTGAGACATTCACAAGTGCAGGTAGGAACAGCCTCAGATAGAGTACTCATATTCTACTGGGCAATCCTATTCCAAGTGGGGCTGCTCCCCAAACATATACTAGAGGGGCTAGGGCTCTCCCCTACGTGTCTTACATATATACTATCTTGCATTATTTCTTTTCTTTTTTTTTGGCAAGGCAGTCAGGGTTAGGTGACTTACCCAGGGTCACACAGCTAGTAAGTGACAAGTGTCTGAGGCTGGATTTGAACTCAGGGCCTCCTGACTCCAGGGCCAGTGCTCTATCCACTTCACCACCTAACTGCCCCATTTGCTGTATCCACTGCACCAACTAACTACCCCAGTGTATGCCTTGCATTGTTTCTTAACTGCTTCTTATGGGAATGTCATCTTCCCAACTCGATTATAAACTCCTAAAGGACAGTCCCTGAGTCTTATTTATCTCATTATCCCCCATAATACTTAGGATAGTAATAATAACAATAATAGTAATAACAGCTTCTATGTAGTGCTTTAAGGTTTGCAAAGCATTTTACAAATATTGTCTAATATCGTCCTCACAACAACCCTGAGAGGTAGGTCCTATTAGTATCCTCATTTTTATAAATGAGGAACCTGAAGTAGACAGGTTAACTGAATTGCCCAAAGTTATACATCTAGTAAGTTGTTAAGGCTAGATTAGAACTCAGTTCTTCTTGATTTTAAGTATAACACTCTCTCCATTGCACCACCTAACACATAAATATTTGTTGGATATGTGTGTGTGTGTATTTTAAGAAAGAAAATGTATGAGATGAAATGGGACAAGCTCCGAGCGGAGATCAAGGGCACATGTCGAGGGGTATGGGCTAGGAGAAGGGCCCCTCTTCCTCAAAGAGTGAAAGAGTGAAGGATGAGTAAAAGGGTAATGGGGTTTGAGGTATAGAAAAGGTAAAATGAGAGAGCTTATAGCAAATAGTCTTGATTTTCTCAGTAAAGTATGTCAGGAAGAAATTGGTTGCTAATGTGAAGTGGCAGAAGAGACATTGAGGGCTTGAAGAGAGGAGAAAGAAAAAACAACTACTTAGGGGAGTGGGATGGAGAATTAATCATGGAAAAATAAAAGGATGACCCAGCAGCAGCAGGTCCCAATTGAGATTGGAGAACATAAATTCCTAGTGGATGCATTTAGCATGATGGCATGTGTCTTCCTCCAGGGAGCATTCAACCTATGCAAAGAAATGGCCCAAGCGTGAAATCCAGAGAGCCCAGTGAGAGCTGCTGGACCTGAGACAGGCAGAGGGTGGGAACCCTCAGAAGAGAAAGAAATGGGCCTAGTCGAGGACAGTTATTCCTTTAATTTGGGCCATTACGTCATGATATGTTCTAGGAGTTCAGAGAAAGAAGAGACCACTGTGATCAGGGATGCCTTCATGGAGAAGATGACACTTAAGCTGGGTCTTTAGAAATGGGAAACATTTGCGGGGGGGTGGAATCAATCATCACGCATTTATTAAATACCTATTATGTTTGAGATCTAAGGAATCAAAGACCAAAATGAAAGTCACTGCCCTTAAGGAGCTTACATTCTATCAGGGAAAAGAGCATATACAAATATAAGTCAATGCCAAATAAGCAAAGAAGAGGAGAGAAGGAGGGAATAACAGAAGCAAAGACAAAGTCTAGTATTGTGGAAGGAGCACCAAACTGGGAATGAGGAGGGCTGGGTTCTGGTTCATCTGGGTTCTTCCATTAACCAGGTCCTTTGCCACTAACCAGATATATGAACTTGAGTAAACCTCTCTGAGACTCAGTTTCCTCATTTGTAAAATAGGTTTGGGCTTCATAATCTCTTAAGGTCCCTGCCGTGCCTGAGATTTTATGTATTCTGTCACCGAGGCAAGAAGGGGCATATGCATGGTCAAGGAGATTTTGTCTGAGTTGGGGAGAGGATTCAGAATAGGAAAGAATAGGGGCAGCTGGGTGGCGCAGTAGGTAGAGCACTGGCCCTGAAATCAAGAAGACCTGAGTTCAAATATGACCTCAGACCAAACACTCGACACTTACTAGCTGTGTGACCCTGGGCAAGTCACTTAACCCCAATTGCCTTAAAATAAATAAATAAATAAATCATATCCAGAATAGGAAAGAATGGAAATGAAGATTGTAGAGAGACACAGGGTGTGACCTGATTGTGAGTGGTCTTGAAAGTCAGGCTGAACTCTTTTTGTGGTGCCAAAGAATTGGAAATGGAGGAGATGACCATCAATTGAGGAATGGCTGAACAGGTTGTAGTATATGAATGTAAAGGAATACTATTGTGGTATAAGAAATGATGAGTAGGTGGACTTCAGGAAAACCTGGAAAGACTTACAAAAACTGATGCAGAGTGAAGTGAGCAGAATCAGAACATCATACGCAGTAATAGCAACAGTGTGTGATGATTAACTATGATAGACCTGCTCTTCTTCGATCATACAATGATCCAAGACAATTCCAAAAGACTTGTGATGGAAAATGCTATCCACATCCAAAAGAGTGGAGAAAGAACTAGGGAGTCTGAATGCAGATTGAAGCATACGATTTTCACTTTTTTTTTCTTTCTCGTGGTTTTTCCCTTTTGTTCTGATTCTTCTTTCATAACATGACTAATGTGGAAATATGTTTAACATGATTGTACATGTAAAACCTATATCAGATTGCTTGCTGTCTCAGGAAGGGGGGGAGGGAGAAAAATTTGGAATTCAAAATTTTACAAAAATGAATGTTGAAAACTATCTTTTACATGTAATTGGGGGGAAATAAAATACTATTAAGGAAAAAAATAAATTAAAAAAAAAGGAAGTCAAGTTGAAGAGGTTGGGTTTATCCTGATAGATAAGAGGGAGCTGTACCTGACTCTTGAGCCAAGAGCCTTGGAATGGGTAATTATCACACCTGCTATGCTTGGCCTGAGAAGATGGCATTGCATGCACATAGTGTGTGTAGTTACATGGACTTATGGAACTTGTGTTTCCCATCTCCTGTGAAATAACCATCCTCAGTTTTATGATTATAGCTATTGTTTGTAGAACCCTATCTTGTTTGCAGAACATGGTGCTCCTGGCAGAACCTAATACTGCAGAAGCCATCACTGTCCATAAAGCCTGCGTGTCCTGGTAGAAATGGTCATTGGTTAGAGAGGCCATTTCTGCAGAGCCATCACAGACAGAGCCTGTGGCTGGGTGAACACATCACTTTGCAGAGCACAAATGCCTTGTCCCTTGTCCCCCATCTTTTTCCTTGCTTGTCTTTTACCCATCTACTCTTCACACTTACCTTGAACACAGTTGTGTAGCATCTCTAAAGAAAGATCCATGGAAGGCCAAAGGCGTCGGGGGTGAGGACAGAGGACTGTTCTTTATCAGCTCTTTGCTTTGTCTGGCAACAGACTCGAATGGGGAGCCTGAAGGGGGCCCAGAGTGATGTCACTCTCATTTTCCTTCTAGGCTGCGGGACGGCCTTTGACTTCCACAAACAGATCGACTACTTGTTTCTTGTGGGCACCGAAGAGGGTAAAATCTACAAAGTAAGACAACTATACCCATCAGAACCCCTAAATAAAAGTGAGGAGAGAGGCCTCAAAAATTGTTTCCCCTGCTCAAAGCTTTCCCATCTCAGGAACTCTAGATGAAAGGAGTAAAGAGGGGAGGGAGGAGAAGAACTAACATCCTTTGTCAAACCAGTCTTATCTGTACCTATCATTCTGTGCTCCCCCCCCCAAATCCCTCCTTCCGTCTATCTCTTCCTATTCTAGAAGAGCACTGTATTTGGAATCAGAGGTCTTGAGTTCAGATCCCAGCTGTGGCCTCGGACAAGTCACTTTAGGTCCTTGGGTCTCCATTTTCCCCATCTGTAAAATGAGGGGATTGGACTGAGCTCTAACGTCTCTTCCAGCTTTAAATTCTATGATTCCCTCCTCTCTAAGCCTCTAGCCAAAGTTAAACAGCCCCAGGCCCACCCTCAGGAAACCAAAGGCCCTAGAGAGACAGACAAGACAGATATAAAAATCAGGGGATCCAAGGGCTGACATAAAACAGATGCCTTCATTAATGAAATCCAGTTTGTCACAGGTTTTCTAAGGAGTGGGTGGGCGGGGCCTTCTGGAGCCTTTTGGGGAGGACCTGGGGAAAATTCCCTGCCTTGGAGCCCATTGGCTCAGGAAGGCTTCCTGAAGGGACCTGCTTAAATGGAAAGGAGAGGGTGAAAGGACTCAGCAATTTTCCATTAGGAATCCAGAGTCTAAGTAAAGAACTTCCGGGAGCTGTTCTCAGTCCAACAATGAGCCTTTATTAACAACTATTGGGTGCCCAGTCCTAGGCTAGAGGGAGGAGGGGGGATAGAGGGGAAATAGAGAAGAATCAGACGCAGTTCATCCCCTAAGGAGTTCTTAGGCTGGGTACACAAGATTCACAAGCTTTAGACAGAATGAGCGATCAAGGGATGATTGTGGCATTGATTCTAAGTACAGGAAGAGTTCAGAGATTGGGGAGCTCGGTGGGGCACTCACTGAGTTCCAAAAAATCCCCAAAAAAACCAACCTCATAGAAGAAGTGGGATTGGAGCTGGGCCTCATAGGGCCTCTACAGCTTTCTACCAATTCAGGATGTTTCTGAAAACATCTTATTTGCACCAAAGATTAACAACCATCCCCTTCTTCCCACCCTGCCCGGCTAGTCCTGCCCCCCTCCCCCAGCTACATGGTAACTCACTAATTTTTAGCCCAGAATAATTTTGGAAAACAGAATAGTGCTCTGCTATTAGCATTTCTGAAGCCAAGTAAATCATTATCTTAATTACCCACACGGCTCTCTGCATTCTTATAGAGCAGCAAGCATAGGCCACCCCTTTGCCAGGGATCAGGGATCTGCTTGCTATGCTAAGAGGTTTCAGTGTGATGGCGGAGGGGAGGTTGGTCCCTGAGAGAGGAACAGAATAAGATGGCCCTGGCCAGGGGTTGCCAGGACCAGGCCCCTGAGGACCAAGTAGCCTTAAGTGCTGCTGGAATGAGTGCGTAGGAAGCCTGATGTATTGGGGGCACCAGAAAGCTACCCCCATCCATCCACCCACTCCAACCTGTTACTGTACTTGAAATCTCAGCATTTGAGATTTAATCCTTTGGGTTAAGGCATGCATTTTATGGCTGAGACCTCAAATAGCATTTATGAGAATGTAAAACCTCTTGGACCCAGAATATTATTAGTCACTAACACTCTAGTGTGAATGAGCAGAAAACAGCATCATAGATAAAACAGTAATAGTAGCTCTAATTCGTTCCCTCATTTTACAGATAAGGAAACTGAGGTTATGTCAATTACCCAAGCATATTCGGGTATTAAGGGGCAGAGCTGGTTTTAAACCCAAGTCAGATCCTTTAGGGGAAAGGCTTTTCCTGCACAATGGATGATGCACCCCATTTCTTCCCTGGTCCTTATGGACCAAAGGAGCGAGTGAACTCCTTAGGTTATCCCATCTCCCCACTCCAGCACCATCCTCAGCCTCAGTCCTTCCCTCTAGCTTTGACAGGTCTTGAATTATCTAGAGTACTCAGCCATCAGTCCTCTTCTTCCTGTTTCCAATGACCATTTCCCCTTTTCTCTTTTTAAAGAACTGAGGGGTTGGGGGTGAGGGAGGGATGGGGAGAGGCTAATGTGTCTGAGACTCAGCACAAGAGCCCTAGGCTAACTCTCCCCATGGGGATATGTGGCTGTCCCCGCCCACACACAGCTCATTTCCCTGGCTCTCTCATTTCCCCTTCCTTGGCCTGCCTGTGACCCTCTGCCACTGAGACCAGCCTTTACCAGCGAGATCTGGGGCAAAATGAAAATGGAATCATCCGGTCATGCTGCCTATCTAAAAGCACCCAAGCACATCTTCCCCTGGTTCCATGGGAAGTTGGGTTGTGGTTCTAACCGAATGTGGACAATCCATTGGTGGGTCCTATGTCTACACAGGGAAACACTCCCTTCCCTTCTCCCCACCCCTCCAAAGTTAAGATGCATGTTCATCTTAGGGGCACAATTATGGCTTATGGCCATGGATAAGTAGCCTGTCTATCTAGGTGGCACTGGGCCTGGAGTCAGGAGTTCAAATTTGGCCTCAGACACTTACTAGCTGTGTAACCCCAGGCAAGTCATTTAACCTCTGGTTGTCTCAGTTTCCTCATCTGTGAAAGGGGGATAATAATAGTACCTACCTCCCAGGGTTGTCGTGAGGATCAAATGCGGTAATATTTGTAAAGTGCATATTATTAGTACAGTGCCTGGCACATAGTAAATGCTAGATAAATGTCAGGTATTATTTTTACCATTAGTTCCCATCTGGAGTTTGCTCTTTGTCCCTCCGAAGTCTCTTAGCTTTGATCCTGGCTCCCCCGGAAGGAAAAGTCATTTTGTGTCTGGGCTCCAAAGTCAGCATTCCCACTTCACAGCCCTTGCCCTAACCTTGTTGATGCCTCCCTTGGTCACTGCTAGAGTATCCCCTCCAGTCAGGTCCCTGGCCTCAGGAAAACCTATCACTTTCTCTGTTTGTTTTCTCCCTGGTTGGAGTGTGGGCCTTGCTCTCTCCTGGGTTTGAAGATTTTCTTTTATTCTGATCTGTCTTAACCTTCTCTTTCAGCTCCTCTGCTTGTCAGGTGAAGCCAGGCTTCTTCTTCCCTGTTATTTTAAGCTAGACGCCAGGCCCTGTCTCCCTAGCACCAACGAGTGACAAGGTCACAACAATTTCAGCTGCCATCCAGTCCAACCTTTGCCTGAAAAGGAATCCTGTCTTCAGCATCGATGACAAGTAGTAATTCAGCCCCTGTTAGAAAAACTCCAGTGATGAACCTTTGGAGAGTTCAAATTATTAGGAAGTTTTTCCTTATATAGAGTGGAAATTCACCTCTATAACTTCTACCATTTTTTCCTACTTCTGTCTTCTGAAGGCAAGACCAAAAAGTCCAACCCTTCATTCTTATAATGATATATCAAATACTACAAAACAGTTATCACACAAATAACCTCTTCTGCAAACTAGACATACTCAGTTTCTTTTTGTTGTTTTTGTTGTTGTTGTTGTTTGGGTTTTTTTGGGGGGGGGGGAGGCAATTGGGGTTAAGTGACTTGCCCAGGGTCACATAGCTAGTAAATGTCTGAGGCCAGATTTGAACTCAGGTCCTCCTGACTCCAGGGCTAGTGCTCCATCCACCTCAGTTTCTTCAAATGATCTTTGGTCTCCAATCCTCTCACCATTCTGGTCATCCTCTTCTAAATGGTAGATAACAGGCCATTTATTAAGTGATTACTATGTTTCAGGCACTGTGCTTATATGTATATATGTATATGTATATATGTGTGTGTGTATATATATATTGTCCCTACCCTCAAGGAGAGGTAGAGAATAATAGATCTGAAAATAAAATAAAATAAAATTTAATTTTAAGAAAAGATCACATTCACTTGGTTGGCTAGGGTGCTAATCAACTCAGTCAACTAGCATTTATTAAGCACCTACTATGTGCTGGGCACTGTACACTAGTGATTCCTATTATCCACTTAAGCTTCCAGAACTTTTTGACATAAATTATAGCTTGGTCATGCCTCCTTTATTTCATGCTTATACAGATGATTTGTTTTTGTTTTTGTTTTTGTTTTTTAAGTAGTAAAGGACTTTTACGTTGATCCCTATTAAGTTGCACTTTTCAGATAGAGCACCAGCCCTGGAGTCAGGAGGACCTGAGTTCAAATCCAACCTCAGACACTCAGATGCTTATTAGCTGTGTGACCCTGGGCAGGTCACTTAACCCCATTGCCTAGCTGCCCCCCCCCAAAAAAATTTCACTTTACTAGATTCAGCCCATCGTTCTAGCCTCTCAGGATCTTTTTTGGATCCTGACTCCATCTGATGTGTTAGTTCTCCTGCTCAGCTTTGTGCTGCTGTTAGATACACTAAGCCCACCATCTCTGCTTTCATCTAAATGATGGGTAAAAGTGTTGAATGGCACAGGGTCAAGGACAGATCGTCCCTCAGGCACACTACTGGAGATCTTCCTCCAGGGGGACAGGTTAACTACTCTTTTGTTCCTCCTTCCCCATGTGATCTATCTCTACCTCTACTGGTCAGCTGAGAGGGGCCCTAACTTGCCCCTGATCATGAAGAGCCTCCACTGTGAGACAGCCATGCCCCTGCCTATCCTGGGGTGACATGGGGAGCAAGTGACTTTAACTGCTTTTCTGCCCTGATTTTGTTCTCCATCTGCTCTGTATTCTACAGCAAGAGAGGTTTTTTCTTTTTTCACTCATTCATTCATTCATCCATCCATCCATTTATTTGTTGTTTATTCATTGGTTAGGAAGCATCTTTTGCTTTTACAGATAGAGGGAAGCTGTGAAAGGGAGGAAAGTACCCTGGGTCACATTCTGAGTCTGTCTCTGTCCTAGCAAATGACAAGATGAGATTCCAATGCCTTCACAGTCACAGAATCATCAGTTTACCTAGAGACCATCAAGTCCAATACCCTCATTTTACAAATGAGGAAACTGAGGCAACAACAAGCTAAATGGCTTGCCCATGGCCACCCAGTTAATATGTGTCTGGGGCAGGATTTGAACTTAGGTCTTCCTGATTCCAAGCCTAGTACCTAGCTGAGGATAGGAGTGACTACTGACCTTTGATCCTACCATAGTGCTCCAAAACCTACTCAAGCCAATTCCTTGACACGTTTGAGGCCCACAACATGGCAGTGGATGCAGTTACCTGGAACCCATACCATTCCAAAGTCTTCATGTCCTGCAGCTCTGACTGGACAGTGAAAATCTGGGACCACACCATCAAGTGAGGGAAAAGGAGTTCTGGGACTGTATTGTCAAGTGAGGGAAGGGGGGGGGAAGGGAGGGTGAACCAAATATCAAATGAGACTGGAGGGGGCAGAGGGAGAGGGAACAGTATAGGGATCATCCCCTCAGGGATGGAACCCAAGCCCCACCAGAAGAGGCATCCACTAGCTATTTTCTGACTTGTCTTACCCTCTGCTCATCTTCCCATCATTCCAGGAAACCCATGTTCGTCTATGACTTGAATTCTGCTGTGGGTGATATAGCTTGGGCCCCATACTCCTCTACTGTCTTTGCTGCAGTCACCACTGATGGGAAGGTAAGAGCCATGTCACCAGTACCCAACCTCCAAGTTCACATTTGCCAGCCTTGGTCCAGGTATGACTCCCCAACCCACTGGAGGTCAGGTGGCAGATCCTAGAACATTAGTCAATTTGATTTAATGATTCAGCTCAGCCTCCTGTGGTGGGATAGGGAAGGATTTGGCAAGGTATGAGTCCATTGTGGCCTTGATTAGGCTTCTGAGATTACCTCCCATTGGTGTGGAATATATACCTTATATGTACCCAGTTATTTGCATGTCATCTACACTATTAGAATGTAAGCTCCTTGAGGGCAGGGACAGTTTTTGCCTTTCTTTGAATCCCCAGCACTTTGTACACTGCTGGGCATATTGTAAGTGCTTAATGACTGACTGACTGATTGACTTTTTGGTGAGGGCCGTCCAAGCAGAAGACTCTGTCTGAGCATTCTCAGGGTAACCAGTCCCCATCCCTCACCCCATCAGCTCTGATTGGTGAAAGTCCATATTCAGGCTTGGGGGTCTCCAGATTCCAGCTGAGAGAAGGGCAGAGGAACCTGTCAAAGTAGTCCTGATGGTCCCTAAGATCTGAGTGTGGAGGAAGCTTAAGCATGTTTGGAAATCTGGCTAAGTCAAATTGGGGGGGGAGGGGATGCAGGGAGAGAAGGGAAATATTCCAACAACAGCATGAGTTGAGATGGTGGCGGTAATGAGTGTGTGTGTGTGTGCGTGCGTGTGTGTGTGTGTGTGTGTGTGTGTGTGTGTGTGTGTGTGTTTTGGAAGGAGGGAGGTCGCAGAGAGGTGGCACTAGATAGCCCGTGCTGAGGGGCTCTGAATGACCACAGAGTATGCATTTCATTGCACTCAGCTCCATCCTTGCTCTTCCTCCTCTTGGCTCCACACCTGCCCAGACCCCTGCTCTGATGACCAAGGCCTTCCTCCCTTGGTAGGGCAGATCCCTGGGAGGGGGGTGAACCTTAAGGTGGCATCTCCTAGCTCACAGGATTTAGGACTAGCTGGAACCTTAAAGACCATCCATTCCAAAGCCCTCATTTTGCAGAAGAGGAGGCTGCCAGCCAGACAAGAAGGATTTACAAGGAGTAAGGAGCAGATCCTAGAGTCCGACCCAGGTCCTTCTACACCTTCCTGCCTCTCAAGAGGCTGAGCATCAAGTAACAGTGGTTGGCCACTCGGTCATTCCCAGGCCCAAAGTGAGAGAGGGAGCAGCCTACAGCAACATTCTTAAGTCAAAATTTGTCTCTGGTGGACTTCCCACTCCCCCTCAGATACCCAGTGATCTCCTAGATAGAAAGTGTTTAAAAAGGTATCTCACACTGGACTGAACTCATTTACCCAACTCAAACCTCCACCAGAGGGACTTGTGTGAAGTCCTTAACCCAAAGAAATTAAGCTCTCATGATATTTGAGGTACCAGGGCACGCCTATTAGAAAGATGTTTCTGAAGAAGGAAGAGCTTCTCCCAAAGGGACCCAGAACTGGAAGGAACCTGGGAGGTCACCTATTCCACCCCCCTCATTTTAAAGATGAAGCAACTGGGGCCCAAGAGGCTGTGACTTGCCCAAGCTCTCACAGGGAGTTAACATCGGAGGCAACATTGAGGCCAGGTTCTCTTAACTCCAGAGCAAGCACTCCTTCCACTGTACCAAATACAGATGTCGTAGTTTGTTTGTTTTTTCTCGTCTAAGTTCACAGACTTTCTGAAATCCATCCGGAGACCTCTAGAGGTCCATGGATTTCAGGCTAATTATTACCCCTGTTCTAAGAGATTTAGGTCCTTTTAGTGTTTGCTACATGGTATATAGCAGCCTCTGATGGGAATACCTGTCCCTCCATCGGGGCTTTGCCCAAATGAATTACTCTGGTTTAAAAAGAAAATTGGTATAGAGGTCAGAAAAGACAAATTCCAATCTTAGCTAGGGCACTAATTTTCTATGTGATCATAAGCAAATCATTTTATCTAGCCTCAGTTTCCTTTTTTAGAAAAAGAGGGGCTCAGACTAGATGAACTCTAAGGTCCCTGATGATGTTCTATGACACAAATCCTTGCTGTTCCCATGTGGTCCTGTTGCCCAAAGCACCCCTTTGCCTGGGCATCACCTTTATTTACATACCAGTTACTATTACCTCATGACTCTGATGTCTGAGTTGGCTTGTTGTTCTTTTATTGTCAAAAACACAGCTCTCAATGTTTCCTACTTGCAGGCCCATGTGTTCGACCTGGTCATCAACAAATACGAGGCTATCTGCAACCAAGCAGTAGTGGTCAAGAAGAAAAATAAGATTACCCATGTGCAGTTCAATGCCATTCACCCTATCATTATTGTCGGGGATGATCGTGGTCAGGTCACCTGCCTCAAACTCTCACCCAATCTGCGGAAGATGCCCAAGGTAAGCAGCTTGACCTGGACTGTAAACTCCTTCACCAGGAGAGAAGCTAGTTGGGCTCCAGGAAATGTCAGGCATCTGGAGAACAGGCTGGGGTTTAGGGAGAAAATTCTGAGAGAACTGGGTTGATCTCAACAGCCTCTGGATATTTACTTCAGATAGTCATAGCCCATCGTAGGCAGATGGAACCAGACAGAGCTCCCCGAGGGGTACTGGTGCTGTTCTCTGGGCAGAGAGGGTGAGAGGCCCACTATATATTATACACACTGCAAATCTGAAAATCAACCATTCCCAGGAATGGTTCATGTATAGATAGCATTTTCTTTCTTTTTTTTTTTTTTGAGGCCCACTTTTAAAAAAGAGAATTTTGAAGGCAGGGAGGTCTCAGAACTCAGTGGGGTTGGGATATTCATCTAGGGTCAGCTACATTTGGGAGGTGGGGGCACTCATATGGGTTGGGGGTGGCAGAAGATTGAAGCTGGTTCAGTTCAGTTTGCAAAAGGGGCTGGGAGAAAACTCAGAAAGGTAGAGGGAAGCATAACCTGGTGGCCAAAGGGCTCTGTGAGTTCATTCTATTTGTAAGCTAGGGAGAAAGTCTGCTCTATCTGGGGCCAGAGGAAGAAATAACTTTGGGAACAAAAGGAGAAGCATTGCTTAGGAGACAGAGGAGCGTGCTGTGTTTGGGAGCCAGGGGAAGTTCTGAGGGGCTGTCAGGGAAACACCCACAGCGGCAGGGAGAGGACTGTAGGAATTAAGCAAGGAAATTCATGAGGACCAAGAGGTGCTTGGCCAGATATTGCTCAACTGTGGGGAGGAAGCACAGGAGATTGGTAGTAGAAAGAACAGCTTTTTTGGGTAGCCACCAAAGGGTGCCTTTGTGACCCTGCATTGGATCATGGCTGCCCCTTGGGCCACACAGACTCACCCACAGCTTCTCACTACTTGGCCATGGACACTTTGAGAAGCAAGGTCACCCATGGGCTCTGTGGCCAGGGTGATGAAGTGGAAAGAGCACTGAGCTGCCCTTGGCTAAATCAGGAGAAAGCAGAAGGTTTGAGAGGAAGACAGTAGACTTGGTTTGTGACATGTTGGTTTTGCACTATTGATGGGACATCCAAGTAGGAGATGCTCAGTAGAGATTCTGATTCGTGATTCTAGGGAGAGACGGAGGCTGGAGGAAATTTGGGGGTATCCACATAAAGGTAAAGGAATGGATAAGATTTCCAAGAGAGAAAGGGTTAGTCCATTATTCTTTGCCAGCCCGTAGGTGTGATTTGGGAAGCTGAGGTCAGAGGCAAAGTGGGATGGGGGTTTTCCTCAGTAGCAGGATTCTGGATGAGGAAAGATAAGTTAAATCAGCCATGAGAACAATGGCTCTCCCTCACTGACACTCACCACATGCCTCCTCTGATCTGCTGAGTCCTCTCTCTCTATCAGGTCACTGTAGCTCTGATACAGTTAGGACTTGCCCAGAGTCCAGAGTCCATCCCAGGCCAAGCAAACCCAGCCCAAAGGGTTACACACTTTCCATGGTGAGCTCCCAGGTGAACTTGGGCTGAGCTATGGGCTGGGTAGGCCTGGTTGAGCTGCAGAGAAGAGAAAGGATTGACTGATTCAGTGCTCCCACAAAGCAATGTCCAGAGCTACTAAGACCTCAGATGATGCCAAGGTCTTTCTCTTCCAATCCAGTTTCACAGGCAATTCCAGAGCCATGGGATTAAAAATACGGACCCTACGTTGTATAGCCCAAAATACAACAGCCTGGCTGGACTGCCATGCAACTAGGCTTCCTGAGGCCCGAGGGGTCCAGAATCACAGAACGATATGGCAGAAAGGACCTTAGAGATTATTTGGTAAAAATCACCCGGCCAGGGTCGCATAGCCAGTTAGTGGCAAGGCCTGGACTCTAACCCAGGTCTTCAGACTCCAAATCCATTGCTCTTTCTACTACCACACACTACCAGTAAGCATTCAGGACCCTGAGTGTAGCTTATCATTTGAATTGACTTCCTGAGAGCAAAAACAATAGGGCTAGGGCCATGCCGGGGGCCAGGACAGGGACCAGGTGGAGGTGGATTGCTCCTATCTAGCCAGGAGTAGAGATTACAGTATTAATGAACAGGAGCAGGATGGTCTCCTACCATGCTTGCTCCCTCAGTCTCACAGTCCTCACCCCACTCCCCAGCGCCCCAGCTGCCTGGGGTATTCACATTTATTAATACGGGCTGCACGTTTCCATGGATGGCTGTTCTTGCCAATTTAGTAGTAATGGCCAGAGTAGAGACAATGGGCCCAAGACGGAGAATCAGAGCCTGGCCTGTAATTATTGCTAATGCCATCGTTGGGCTGGCTATAAATACCACAGAATAAAGGAGGCATAAAGGAGAGGGGTTTTAATTGGTTAAACGTGCCGTAGTAAGCAGGAGCCCAGCTTTGAGCTCTGGGCCTTGTTTCAGGAGTTAGTTGTACTTGGAGATGAATCTTGTAGCTGATAAAATATGTTCTTAATTAATTTGCACTGAGTTTTAGGAGACTGTGAAAATGTGTCTGCCTGAGAAATCCTGTTTCCGTGGCTGCTTAATGAGGGCGCGTTCCTGGCGGCTGGGCTAATTCTCCTGGGCATGCAGAGAGGAAAGCATTTGGTCTTGCTAAAGGAGGGGAGCCCTAGCCAGGGGGGCATAGCCGTCAGCTGGACCAGAGGCCTCTGGTAGCCCAGGCCTGGCGTAATGGCTTCCCATTAAGTGAACAGAGAACAGTTATCACCCCAGAATCTTGAAAGGGTCTGGCTGAGCCAGGAGGGGATTGCAAAATGACAGGTCCAGAGGGACAGCATGCCTTCACCTAAAATGGACCTCCAAATGTACCCAAAGGAAGGAAATGATGGGATGTTGATTAGTGGGTCCCAATGGTCTATGCTACAGGCACTGGCGTATATTACCAGAATCAGAAAAGCAAGGCAGTTGGGCTGTGAAAGCAAGGAGGCAGCAGCTGCTACCGTAGCCCTGATGATGGCATCAGCCTTTCTTTCTTTCTGAGATTGCCTGTGGGCAGCTTATATAAGGAGATATAGCCCAGGCCTCTCAGGGCTATTTCTAAACTGGGGCTTGTTTTATAGTTTTATAGGGCATTATGTTGGAAGAAAGGAGAGCAAGAAAGCCCCACACATCAGGATATTATGGTGCCATGGAGTCTAGTTCCCTCTTCTCCCAAGTATTGCATGTGTCTCCGAGAAAGCATCATGCATGAGGTTGTACCGAAAGCTGCCTGGAGTCCCAGGCACCAGGCCTATACCAAAGAGCTGGGCAATAATGACTGTGCCATTGACCATACCTTGACAATACCTTCTGAGCTCTCAGGCCTGCCTTTGTCAGAGATCATGGAACCCTTGTGGTCAGTGGTGGTCTTTAGGGGTTACCCTGACTGCTAAAGAGCTCAGAAAATGAAAGTTGGCTCTATGAAAGGCAATTGACCCAACCCCTCGAATCTGCTTTGCCATATCTGAAACTGTCTTTCTCTCCCTGAAAGGGTTACCTTCTGAACAGTTGAGAAGGACAATACCCTAGGCCATAAACTTGTCTGACCGCATCAAGTTTCTGGAGAATCAGCCCCTTCTCAGAAAAAACCCTTGTCCTTGGCCTGTGGATTTTCCATCCTCCAGCCTTTGCTGAATTTTATCCCTTTGCTCAGGATGCCGGCTTCCTTTTTATCATTCAGAACTGACTTGGCTCTCTGGCTTGAGTCCTATGAATTCCAATCATTGACTACATAAGCCTCCCCCTTCTTCCACCATTGCCACTGTAACTTAGCACCTGGTCCTAGCACCCACGCTTTTTTTTTTCTCTTCTTATTCTTGACACCACACACTCGAGGCCAAAAAGTGTGTTTTTGGAAAGAGGGAGAAAGAATAGCATACATAAATATCAAAAATAAGATTTCAGGCAGTTGAGACTATATTTGAAAATGGGGTGGAGGGGGAAGAGAAGCTCTCTTCAGTACAGATTGGGCGGTGCCCAGATTTACAAAACTTTTCTATAATTAAAGTTCTCTGGGCCTTGCTTAGCCCATTATCCTGGACTCAGAATCACTCCTACCAGATCTGAAGATTTGGGATTCCCACACCTGGGTACCTTGCACCAGATTGGCTCAGTGGTTTACAATCCCAGACTCACTTTCAGACAGTCAGGAAATGTCATGATGATGGCTGGGACTTTGATGCCTCACCTCCATGCTTCCTTAATCATTAGCTAATTCCCTTCCCATGCTCAAAGAGAAGTAGAAAATAATTCAAAAGATATTATTAGAGTTGCTCCCACTACCTAGAAAAAAGAATAATTCAGCCCAACACCAAGTTTACCCCCAAAGTTCATTGGATAACCCCTTTTTCTTCCCAGTCAAGATCAGGGGGCATGCCTATCTAACATCTAGGCAGATCTGCTGTGGCAAATCTAAGCATTAAGCTGCTGTGGGGTGATTAAGAATAGCTCACATTTCCTTTTTAAAAAATTTTATAGATAACTTTTATTTTTATATCACTTTCATTTCCAAATATATCTCTCTTCCCTCCCCTACCTACTGAGCCATCCCTTGTAACAAAGAATAAAAAAGAAAGGGGGGAGGGAAGCAGTTTAGCAAAGCAACCAATATATCAACAGTATCTGAGAGTGAAAATTTCCACACCCATAACCCTCCGCTTCTGTAAAGAAGGAAGGAAAATATGTTTTCTCAACCCTTCTCCAGGGCTAAGTTTTGTTTATTATAATTAACAAAGCATTCAGATTGGTTTTTGTTCTTTCATTTATATCGTTATTGTGTATATTGTTTTCTTAGATCACATCTCATCAGTTCATTACTCCTCCCTGCTTTTCTGAATTTTTCATATCCTTTATCACAGCATACTATTCTGTTATATTCATGTACTACAATTTGTTTAATCCTTCTCCAGTCAAGGGGCACCTACTTTTTTTTTCCCCATTGCTTGCTACAAAAAAAAAAATTGTTTTTGG